CTACCTATATAAAGATTTTGAGCTATTTTACACATATACAACCTTGGAGAATCATATACAAGAGAGAGGGGGGAGGAGTCTAGAGATTAGAGAGATACACACCATTTGAGAGTTCTTCCACTTATCTAGGGTTTCCATCAAGGAGAAGAAGATTACTCCTACCATGGAGATAGCCCTTGAGGGTTGGATGACTATATCAATGAGTGGCTAAACATCTTCTTGGGGCTAAAGTTAGCCCTAAGCATGCTTTCTAGACCTTGATGCTTTGTATTTTGAGGGGATTTGTGTTATAATTCTTGTCTTGACATTTGATTTATACATGAATCTTGTTTCTATAATGATTTGTGTGGTTTAATACTTCCAATTGATCATTTCATTCTATTCATATGTCTATGTATGCTAGAATAGATGTTCATGTGTTTATCTCTAGGTTTTGTGATATTGATGCATGTCTATGTGTATTAATGCTATAAATCTAGAGATTATCAAGGCATAGTGCTTTAATGGAATACTCTTGTGGTTTGTTTGATGGTTCATACTCATTTCTTGATGGATTGTGCCTCTTCTTTAGTTTAATTTTCATATCCCTAGCTTAGTTGTAGTGTAGTTGCCTTACTTTTCTAGATGGGATGACAATCCATGCTTGTTGTTTGATATTCCATGCTTATGAATGCAAGTAGTATATTTCTTAGTTTGTTGATGTGTTTTGATTGTGAGCTTAAAGGAAGAAACAATGGCTTAATTTGATATATTGTGCTATTCATTAGTTTGTCTAGACAATGTATGCTTAATTGAGTGTTTAGGAAAGTGATGCTTAGTGGTGACCTCTAAGTCCCAAGATCCCTCTCTTTGATTCTCTACATTTTATTCTACTTCAATTGCTTCACCTTGCATCCATTTATTTGATATTATGGTTTAATTAACGAATCAAAACATTTTTGATCACTCAAATTACTAATCCAACATTGTTTCCATATCAATATTGCTCCTTATCCCTTGGAACGATCCCTACTCACCCTAGCTATATTAGTAGTTAAAGGTAGTAGTGGCATTTTAGAAATTCAAACTTGGCCACTCTTTAACACGTTTTAACTTGTTAGTTCATGACGACACCAGTCAGCTTTCCAATGATATCATTATCATCCTCAAATTTCAATCACACTGAGAGTTATAGCTGTTTTAGTGAAGAGGTGTCCAAGAATCCTTCAAACCGAGATTGGGTAAGTGTGGGAAATTATACTTATGGCCATTAGGAACTTATGAAATCGACCAAATTGGTTAATGTGATGTTAGAAAGCCCTATTTGACTACTCATAGTCAGTTCTTCCCCACATTTTCCTTGAAATGACTATTTTATCATTGGGTGTTTCCAGGTCGGGTTAGGACCTAATTAGCGATCCGGACCTCCAGGTTTGGATCGTTACAAAAGAGCTTACACAAAATTAGATAATAAAATAAAATGAAATATAATGTTAAAAATCAATATATAATCAAAAAATTATATAATGTAATATATATATATATCTTTAAATCAAATAATTAATATTATTATCTTTGTTTAAAAAATCAAATGAAATATAATGTAAAATATATATAAAGTCAAGTGCCAAATCATATTCCTATGAATAATTATTGAATAGTAATATAGATAAATATATAAATACTATATATTTTCTGTACAGAATAAACAATTTTCTTTTAATACAGATGACAAACCCTTAATGCTTGAGAAAAGATTTCATTCTTAAAAGTATATAATAGGTATAGTCTTATTGATATTTAACTTTATTCTTTTTTTGGTGAATTAATATTTAATTATTTGATAACGTGAATATGGGAAAATAAATTACTAACATAATATGTAAATCACTTTTATATTTTAGAAATTATTATTATTTCTATAAAAAAAAATATATTATTGTATATATACACATGACACAACATCTCACACATGGACATGCAAAGAGCCTCTGATACACACTAGGATATAAGTAGAATTTTTGAAGAAAGATAAATTTAATTTATTTATTATTTATTATTAGTAGCCTTAAAGAATTATAATTTATATACGTGGGAGAGAGCTGTTTCAGACAGACAGAGAATGAGAAGAAATATATATATATACAAACAGCCAGAAATTATATAGAGAGAAAAAAATATATAAATAAAGTATTTAGAGAGAGAAATAATGAAATTGGGGTTAGATGAGTGGCAGTCTTAGAAGTCCAAAAGGGTAGTGTTGGTATTAAATTGCTTTTTTTTATCACGTGACCCGCACATGTCACTTTTTAGGTTTAGAAACCATTATTTGCTATTTTTCAAACTACAAGGGTATTTATGAAATTGGAATCAATTTCTTGTCATGTCTTGTTCATAACATAGTTTACATGGCCCTATTTATGAAATTGTGATTTGTCCCTCATGTTGTTTGATACATCCCGATGTTGTCCAACTTGTCCTTTGTTCCACCAGATACAAGAGCAACATTGGAAGAGATTTTCCGAGGATGAAAATTATGTGCATCATATTAGATAGTTTATACACAAATGTATCCTCTGAGCTCTTCAGCTTTTAAATTCTCTACTAAACTTAGATCCTAAAGGACAAGAATAACATTGTTCATTCAAGACACTATTTTTGTATGCTATAGTAATAGACACTGAACTAGACTGCAAACAATCCTATTCATTTATTTTCACGTACTTGTCACCACCCATTGGAGCTGTGAGAAAAAGCCACACCATCTACAACCACTCGAGGGTGACGATTAATCGCTTGCGAGGTACCATGTAAGAATTGATCTTGTTATTATTAGGAGTGGACGCGGTTTGGTTTGGGAAAAAAAAAAAAAAAAAATCCTAATTCAACTTAAAAATCAAATAGTTTATATCTTTATATATACGTATTATTAGTAACTGTTTAGTTCAGTCTAGTTTAGTTCTCTTTTTGACTCAAATTAAAACCAAACCGTTACATCATAAAATTGAACCAAATTAAAGGGTTCGGTTTCTCGACCGTGCTTCTCGAAAATATCCTAGGACCATTTGGTTATGAGAATTAAGTGAAGGTCCGGATTATCGGTTCTAACGGTTATTTGTGCTGGTTATATCAGATGCCAATAGTTAGGATCTATATACCAACTGACAAGAACACCTTTATTCACCTATACAAATTTTACAACTGAGAAAACAACCTATTTAGTTGTCTCTACTTTGTGCACACTACATATATACAAATGTATGTAGGGGACCAATGTATTGAGTTCCAACTTTCCCTACTCGGAGATGGCTGAAAGTTGCAATCAAAGAAACATTGTGATGTTTCCATTCATGGCTCAAGGCCATCTCATCCCTTTCTTGGCACTGGCAAGACAAATAGAGCAAAGGAAGGGTTTCACCGTCACCATTGTAAACACCCCACTGAACATCCAAAACCTCGGATCATCACTCCCTCCCGGCAGCAACATACGCCTTGCTGAGATCCCTTTCTTTAGCACTGACTATGGCCTCCCACCTGATTCGGAAAACACCGATACCCTGTCCTACATTCATGTCTGCCGCCTCTTGGAAGCCTCGGAAGATCTTGAATCGCCCTTCAAGAGCCTCCTCGTGAAAATGACTGAGCAGGAGGGTCGTGCACCGGTGTGTATCATCTCCGATATGTTCTTGGGATGGACAGTTAATGTTGCCAGCGAGCTTGGAATCTTTCATTCCGTGTTTATAGCTGGAGCTGACTACAGCATGGCGCTTTACTTCTCCATGTCATTGGACGACACACTCTGGCAGACCGATGATGATGAATTCTCACTGCCTAACTTTCCTGAAGCGCACAAGATACAGCAATCAAGAGTCGCCCATGACCTCAGATATACCGATGCTGCTGATTCCTGGTTCCTTTTTCGCAAACGCCAATTTTCACTTTGCTTGCGTTCTGATGCAATCTTGTTAAACACCATAGAAGGGCTAGGACAAAATGGTGTAACATATTTTAGCAGAAAAATGGGTGGTAAACCAGCATGGACTATTGGACCAGCCTCCTCTTCTATCATAAAAGAGGAACTACCTTTCAACAGCAATGGATACTACACTGAATGGCTCAATCTCCACCCACCAGCTTCGGTTCTCTACATATCGTTCGGATCACATAACACTATCTCAGCTGCACAAACTAAAGAATTGGCAATGGGGTTAGAAGCAAGCGGCAAGGCATTCATTTGGGTTGCTAGGCCAAGAATTCAGAGCTGAATGGTTGCCTGATGGATTCAAAGAAGGAATTAGGCGGAAATATCAGGGAATGGTAATACACGAATGGGCACCACAGCAGGAAATTCTCTCACACAAGTCCATAGGAGCATTTCTTAGCCATTGTGGTTGGAACTCCATACTGGAAAGTTTGTGTCAAGGCATACCAATAATTGGGTGGCCACTGGCTGGGGAGCAGTTCTTCAATTCCCATATGCTGGAAAAGGAAGTGGGCGTGTGCGTTGAGGTAGGAAGAGGAAGCAGCTTGGAAGTTGTCAGACATGATCGGATTACAAACGTGATAAAGATGGTGATGAACAAGACCGGAAAAGGTGAGGAGATGAGAAGAAAGGCCTGTGATATGAGAGAAGATGGAAGATGCAATTAGAGAGGGAGAAGGCTACAAGGGATCATCTGCAAAAGCAGTTGATGAGTTCATCCGCACAGCAATGTCCACAACGAAAAACTTATGTCCTCCCTCTCAAGTTGTAAAATTATTCTAAGAAGAAAATGAAAACTACAATGCTAAAATAGCTATTTCACTTGATATGGAACATGTCCAGTTCAAGCTGATGAATGATCGTGAAGATCATCTGCAAAAGCAGTTAATGATTTCTAAGCTTTTCCAGAATTTTTGTCAACAAGAAGAAATTTGAATCTCAGGAAACAAATGGATTTACCTACTACAATTTTTAAACTAGAATGATTAAATTAACAAGACAGAGTCATTCAGATAAGGAATGTCCAAAACACAGTGCAGACACACAAAATGATGCATACTAAAATAAGCACCATGTCAACTTTTGCATTGTTCTAATTCATGATCACATGAACAACAATATGACTAGGTCTCCGCCAAACCAGAATCCAACTACATGTTAAAATTCATTCTCACAAACAAACAATACATATATATTAATGTTATTACAAACCTGAATAATATAATCAGACCCCAATTTTATTCTCTAATGGCAAGTTGAGCTAGACTTGACATACATACCAACCACCAACAAGACTGGATCAGACCTCACTTTTTGGCAATGAACAGGCCCCACCTCTGCTCACCCGATGAACTCCTTAACAGCTTTGCCTTCCAACCACCAACTATATCATTATAGTCTTCCTGGAGATTATTCCACAAGCAACAAACAATAAAAAGAGTAAGTTCCGATAGCATATACCAACCAAAAAAACAGGACAAGTGCGTCGGGAATTGTAAGAGCACGCACTTCAGAAAAGTCCTGGATGAATGCTTCCCTGTCCTTCTCGACTGCATTTAATTCCTTCTGCAGAACTTCTATGAACTGTAACACAAGGAAAGCACTTATAGGTTAAGATGCTCAAATGAAAATACGCCACATAATACCAGGAAAACAAAGGTATATAAGAACCTGATCAGTTCGATCCTCTGCAATAACCTTGTCAAAACCAGCATCTCTAAGCATCTGTGTATTAACCAAAATAGAACGAGGAGTTTTGCAGGTCAGAAATTGGACTAGAGATAGGTTAACAATATTAATTTTAATGTGTGATATATACCTGGCCGTATGTTTCCACATCATGAAGATCATATCCTCTTTGCTTAATATACTCCGAAAATTCTGGCAACGGAGGTCCAACTCTTTTGCAGTAATCACTAATAAGGACTTTGCCTCCCGGCTTCAACCACTTGTAAAAAGATCTAAATAATGCAGGCTTGTCCTGAAAATACACCAAGAAGTGTTCGAGCTTTGTAAAAGTGGGAAATGCTTATAGGAGAAAAAAATACAAAAAGAAATCTGAGAAAAAAACAGAAATTCACTTTCAACTTAAACTTAATAGTGCAATATGTTTGACCAAGTACAGATGAGTCAACGAGCTGTTGGATTAGCTATTTTTTAAAAGGTCAATTCAAGTAGGAGAAAGATATATAGCAGTCTGTTCAAATGGTCAGACAATCAGCATGATTGTAACCAATCTCTAATAATCACTCGTAGGATGAATGAATTTTATATTGAATGTTTTACACATGCAAGTGTGTATTTAAACATTCTGCTTCAGAAGAAAATAATAAAACAAAAACATTTTTTTTTTTTTTTTTTTGATAAGTAATAAAACAAAAAAAAACAAAAACATTTTCCTCAAAAAAAATGATATATAGATAAATATAACTGATTCCACTCCGTTTCTTCCCAGAAAAATTAGGGGAAAATGTAAAAGAAAATAAAGAGAAATCATTTTAAATTTTTACTTTATACACACACACACACACACATATATATATTTATATATAAATTTTCATCTCATTCTTCCAGGCAACCTAAAGGAAACAACAAATTCAAAGACATCAACTAGAATATTTAAAGCTCTGTGAAGAGATTCCCATTACTTGAATGTGGAGAATGGTATCGCGGCTGTAGATCACGTCAAATGTGTTGTCAGGATATGATTTCTTGGTGCAATCAGCAACCTCAAATTCAACTGAACATTTGAGCCCTATTGCCTTTTCGAGGGCAAAAGAAACCATATTTATGGAGAGGTCAATGCCAACAACTTCAACATCAAAGTTCTCCGCCATGTAAAAGTCACCTCCCCCAATGCCACAGCCCACGTCTAGAACTTTCTGGCCAGGCTTAAGATCCAGCTTGGCAACAAATTCTTTCGTTGTATCTGCTCAAAGACAAAAAATCACTCAGAACAAATAGAAGTATACAAAGGAGAAAATGAATGCCTAGTGGGCAAGTCATTTGGCCTTCTACAGTAAGCAAGAGTTCACAGAAGAACCCCCCAAGGGGTTGACTCAAGTGGGTAAGACATTTGGCCCTGGTGCCTCACGAGGCATCAGGTCTAAGGCTCGACTTGGTGCAAACAATTCCTCTTTGGGGGGGGGGGGGGGGGGGGGAGGGGGACTTTGGTGTGGGTGTGGGGTTGGGGGTGTTGTTATGAGTATCAACCAGGGGACAATAAAGTTCACAGAGGACCATCCATATCTACTACTTGCCTCTTGCCTATAAAAAAGTGTTGTAAAGATTAAAACAGATGCATAGTACAGAAATTCACATGAAACACAAAAGACAGCCCATATCTACCACCTGCCTGTAGAGAAGTGTTGTAAAGATTAGGCAGAGTGCAGAATAGAAACTTTTTAAAAAATAAATAACGGACTAGAAAAGTGTCTGAAGTGAATGATAGAGACCTTATTCTATATGGCACTATAGCTTGTGAGTACCACTAGTTTGATGAACAGTTTGACAAAAAAATCTCAATATCAGGGTTTTCTATAGAGCCAAGTGGAGAGAGGCTTGGTTTTAACATTGGTAAAGATTAATTGATATAATATATTCTTTTTCTTTTTCAATTATGTTTATTGGATAGAGCACCAAAATGAAAAGATATTTTTGCATGGCATACCAATCCCGCCTGTGCTCACAAAACCTTGTCCAAAGACGCGCTCATAACGTAATATACCACTACATTTATATTGGACATTATCTAAGAACCGCTGGAACCCTTTATCATCCTCCGACCTGACTTTCTGCCACATCCAACAAATCTGCATCACGTAAACAGTAAAATTGAATTCTTCAGTACTTCACTTTAACCAAGACACAAAAAGAGCAACAAACGACGAGTGTCGATATTTTTGGTTTAGATATTTTGGCCAGTTGAACAACCTTTATAGATTAAAACAAGATTTTGGTTTCAAAAATGAAATTCGGTTAACCAGATGGAGACATTTAATTTATAATCTCTTAAGCAATAAATCAAATGAATAGTTATGACTAAATACTTATAGAATATGCATGCTTAGAGCAAAAAATCTGAAATTTAAAAGAAAACCAAATGATCATCGTAAGCAAAGGAGCTTTGATCAACAACAATAAGTTTTCCTAAGGTCCGGTAGAAACTGCACTAAAATCTAGTAGGCATGCAAATTTGACATTCTGGCTGGTTTGTGTTATCGTACTGGTCTTTCACATATCCTTGTTGAGTCACTCATTCAGTAGTCACTTGTGTAACAAAAAATATCAGTATATATTCCAAACCAAACAAAACCTTATATTACATTTGGTTAATATTTTAAGAACTCTTAATAACCTACTCATCTAGAAACCAAAACCGATATTTTAAGTACATTTAAAATCAAGTTGTGCCTTCATAAGCATGCAGACTCCCTTACACTAAGAGTGGGCCAAACACGTGCATGTATTATAATTAGTGTAAGCAGTGAGCTTCTAGCACAGAACCTTGTCAGCTCAGTAACGTGTTAATAACCAAGTCCTCTAAAAGTTTATGTTTAAAGAGACGATGTTACTTCTATAAATATATTATCAGCACAAAATAATTTTGAATATTGCTACATAAATTATTATTAAACAATTGATTAAAAATTTATACCATTTGATGAAAAATTAAGTCCGCCCGTGTTGTTTACATATCCAGTTCCAAGCCTCGATAAAGGACGAGAGACGCTTTAGGTAGCTTGACAGCCAAAGTAAAACTTTTGTCGTGACAAATATGAACATGAATCCTATAAATCTAAGAGTAAATTCTAGGGCTTCCTCTTACGCGACGCGTTCCATCAGCTTCTGGATGCTTCAAAAAATGGGCAAGTGGTGCCACATCGGCACCTGGATGTGGTAAAAACCGTACGGCCATCTTTTGTGCATTGCATACAGAGGAATCCACCAAAGATCCTTCTCCTTCCCCTTTTTCAGAAGAAAAGGAGGATCCGGACAAAATTGATGAAAAATAGGCAAGGTTTCCTGTGTTTTTCTGGACAAGCATGGGTAAAAACGTTACCCAATATGGTAGGCATAGGATAGGGGCTTGGAATATAGGAACACTAACAGGTAAAGGAATGGAGTTGGTAGGCACTATGATTAGGAAGATTAATATATTATGTCTACAAGAAACTAAGTCGGTAGGTACAAAAGCTAGAGAAATTGAAGGATATAAACTTTACAACACCTGAAAGAATAGACATAGAAATGGAGCAGGGGTAATCATTGATAAGAATTTAAAAGAAGGTGGTGTGACCGTTATTATAAAAGACGTTAGGATAATACTTGTAAAACTTGTATTAGGAGGTAATATATGTATATAGTTAGTGCCTATGAATCCTAAGTAGGACTAGGTGAACACATAATTTGGGAACATACGGATGAATATATCCTAGAGATACCCGTAGGAGTAAATATATAAATAGGAGGAGATTTTAATGGTCATGCAGGAAAGAATTGTGGAAGATATGAGATGGTACGTGGTGATTTGAGGATAGAAATGATGTTGGGGAGGTTATTTTAGATTTTTCCGTAGCGTATAATCTTATTAACTAAGAATATCTATTTTAAAAAGAGAGACGAACATTTAATGACCTTTACAAGTTGATCAAATGTGAGCCGAATCGATTTTCTTTTAACTAGAAAGATAGGTCGATTAACAAGCAGAGATTGTAAGTTTATCCAAGAGAGTTTAACATTACAACATAGGCTACTTGTTCTAGATGTATATATAAAAGGACAACCTAAAAGGACAATAGAACTATAAATGAATTAACCAAGGAACTAGGTGGTGGAATTTAAGAGGGGAGAAACTAGAATTATTAAAGAATAAGATGTTACAAGAAGCAACATGGACTGTTGAAGATGAAACAAACTCAATGTGGAATAAAATGACTACATGTATTAAAAGAGTAGCAAAAGATGTCATAGGTGAATCAAAAGGTACAGGATCATTATATAAAGAAACTTGGTGGTGGAATGAACAAGTCCAAAACATTGTAAAAACAAAACAGGAATCTTGGCAAAAAACTAAAAATAGCAAAAACTTTAAAAATACAAAAAATGTAAATAAGGAAGTTAAAAAGTAATAAGTGAAGCAAAACATAGAATATATGATGATCTTTGTTCTAAACTAGGAACAAAAGATGGGGAGACGAATATATATAAACTTGATAAACTAAGGGAGAGGAAAACTAGAAATTTTAGCAATATTAAATGCGTTGAGAGAGAAAATTCAAGGGTTTTAGCAAAAGATGATAAATTAAAGAATGATGGAAAAGTTATTTTGAGAAATTGTTAAATGAAAATCATCTAGCTAGTTTAGGCTTAGAAGAATATAGTAACTTTAGGGACAACATATTTTTCTGTAAGGCCAAGGAGTGTGAGGTTAGAAATGCCTTAAGGAAGATGAAATCAGGAAGGGCTTTAGGGCCCGATGGCATTCTTATTGAGGTTTGGAAGTGTCCAGGAGAGGATGGTTTGTTGTGGTTAACAAGATTGCTTAATAAACAAATATGCTTGGTTTGACTCTTTTCTCATATGCCAAGATAATAACAAATAAGAGAATGTCTGATGACAGGCAAAAAAAATTTTAATACCTGTATATAAAAATAAAGGGAATATATAAGTCATAATTATTATCGTGGTACTAAATTAACGAGTCATACTCTAAAACTTAAAGAGAGAGTGAGAAAAATACCTAAGACGAGAGACTGAAGTATCGGAAAATCAATTTTGATTCATGCCAGGAAAGTTGACAATGGAGACTGTAGGGGTTCGTTTTCATAACACAATAAAAATACATATAAATGGTGATATCATAACACAAATCTAAGTGATCCAGACAACAAAGTAGAATCCGAGGTGGACTGAGAGAGAGGGAAGCACAGGCAAACTCGAGAGAGAGGGTGAAGATGGCAGTGTAATAGCACACCATTGACTCCTTTTGTGGGGGTGTGGAAAGTATGGAGAAAGCATCTATATCAAAGAGCATGAGAGATCTCTATCTCTAGGAGGCAGTTTCCTCCTTCCTCTTTTTTCTTCTTCTTCTACTTGGCCTTGGATCACCTATTTATATAAGCCAAGTGAGAAGTTGGGTGATGTCACATGACAGCACATGTGGGCCCATTAACAGTATAAAATAATGTTAATTAAGATAGGTAAAAATTGTACAAGAGTCAAAATGGTATCTCTCTCTACGAGTCAGGTCGAGGGTCGACTCGACGAGCCCTGAACTTCATCCACCAAAACAAGAACCTCCTCGGATCCCAAGTAATCCTGAGTCTTGCTCCCAACTCAAGTCTTCAAGTCTTCGATCTTCAGTTCGATGAGTACTAATGACATAGTAAGTGCCACGTAACTTCGATTGTTGGTTGTTTGACCGTTTGACTTGTGAGCTATCGTTGCTGATGTGGCGTCACTTGTTGACCATTTAACCAAGTTTTGTGGGCCATGTGAAGTGAGATATGTTCAACACCTACAGAGACTATTTACTTATTGAGGAGACTAACAGAAATATATAGAGAGAAGAAGAAAGTTCACCATATGGTTTTTATTGATTTAGAGAAAGCCTATGATGGGATATCTACAGATCTAATATGGAGGGTTTTGGGGGAAAAAATGAGTCACAAAGGGATAATAATGACACAATCAAAGACATGTATCTATGGTCGTGTGACTATAGATAGAATGGCTGTAGGGAAACATGTGAATGTCGTAGGCTTACATCAAGGGTTAGGATTAAGCCCATACCTTTTTGCCTTAGTTATGGATGAGCTAACAAGACACATTCAAGATGAGATTCCATGGTGTATTTCATTTGTCGATGATATTGTTTTTCACCGATGAGAGGTTTCACAGGAAGCTCTAGAATTAAAAGGGTTTATAAGTAAAAATAAAACTAAATATATGGAGTGTAACTTTATTAAATCTAGAAATACAAAAGAGGATGTAGTGAAGCTTGGGAATCAAGAGGTGCAAAAAAGATAATATTTTTGTTATTTAGGCTCTATTATTCATAATGAAGGAGAAATTAGAGATGATGTTAATCATAGAATAAAGGCAGGATGGATTAAATGGAGGAGTGCATCTAATATATTGTGTGACCGGCATATTCCCTTAAGATTGTATAGCTCTTGGGACGCATTCCCCTCTTGAACACTTTCTAATACAATTTTACTTATCAAAAAAAAAAAAAAAATATTCCCTTAAGATTGAAAGGGAAATTCTATAGAATAACTATTAGACCAGCCATACTTTATGGGATAGAATGTTGGGTAGTTAGGACACATGTGCATAAAGGGAGTGGCAAAAATACGAATGTTTGGATGGATGTACAGTAAGACTATAAGGATGGCATTAGAAATGATCACAATTGTGAGATGGTTGGAGTAGCATCAATTGGAGATAAAATGAGAAAAAATCAGTTAAGATGGTTTAGATAGGTGCCACAAAGACCTTTAAATGTGCAAATTAGGAAGAGTGACAGTCCACATTGAGGGTAATACTAAGGGAAGAGGAAGACCAAAGTTAACATGAGGAAAGTTATTAAGAAAGGATGCGATAACATGTGGTTTGACTGAGGTCATGGCCTTAGATAGAGTTGAATGGAAAATAAGATTCATGTAGACAATGCCAAGTAGTTGGGAAAAAGGCTTTGGTTCTTCTTGTTGTTGTACCATTTGATGAAAAATTGTGTTTGGTTTAACGCATAACTAAAAAACAAAAAATAAGGAAAAGGAAAAGAAACAAATGCTTTTAGTTTCGAATGTTGATTCCAAGCATGCCTTTGTTTATTTAAATTGTATCAGCCTAAGACATGATAATGATTTGATCAATTTATTGGTTGAAAGATTAGAATACAATCTTTTCTATCCATTAACTGAAAGGAATTTCAAACCAAAACTAATACAATAACTTTTTTGGTCAAATCAGAAAAAAAAAGATTCAAAGATTCAAACCATAGACCTAGTACCTGATTTTGATTCTTTTTGTTTCTCACATAAGCTCCGATGCATTTGCAACTAACAAGAGAGAGTTCAAAAGAATTCCCAAAACCATCATGCATTTGGCATTCCTTGAAGACCTGCAATACAATATTGATCATAAAAAATATATAAATATGTAGTTGAATACTATATTTTATGCATGTTTAAGATGACTAAACCTTAAAAATAGATTAAACACATCTATGGTAAATATGAAGTTCGAGAAGAAAGTTGGGAAGATGAAATTTTTATTCTAAGTTTCTAACTTAATCAAGTATGAACTTTTGACTTGGAATTTAAGCTTAGATGATTCATTGATAATTTCATGAACATGGCAAAATAGCCTTTATCGAGTTCAGTGGAGTCAATTGAAGGAAAAACCAACTTCTCAAATTTCTAGTTCAATCAGTACATGGCTGGCTACATGCTTGACTACTTTGTGTTGAGCTAAGTTCCAAATTCCGCAGACAAAATCATGAGATAGATTCTTTTTGAAAAGTGATGTGATGATATCATGTTTTTCACGTGTTAATGTCCAAAGCCATTACAATCACCTGTAGTATATATGAAAATCAACAATTATTTATAACAACACTTCCAATTGGAACAATTCTGTGGCATATATTAAGAGTAAGGGTTGATAAAAGCTGAACCTTTGTATAAAATCTGGGTTCCCGATAGTGCGTTGGGTTATTCTTCCGTTTACAGTCTCCAGATTGATGAAAACATGATTCTCTGAAAAAAATAAACCCTCCAACCTTTAACCATTTGACCATTCTTTCTACAAGATTCTCAACCTGCAATTAAAAGAAAAGGGTAAAGAACAAGCAACAGAAATTTGAACAAAGACATTTGAATTATGCTCACAGTTTTTCAGACTTTAAATTGTATCCGAGAAGTCTTAGACATAATACATGGTAATGTGCTGGAATTGATCATCAATAAGAGTAGAATTTTACACTAAAAGAAGCAGTCAGATGGTGAATATACAACCAAAAACCAAAATATTATCAGTACAGGATAACAAAAATGCTCAACTGGTAATCACAAGCTTTAATGCTTCTGTGCACCCGCGAGAATAATAACACAAGCACATTCAGAGGAGCATCATCTTCTTCCTGGGTGAAGATAAATACAATGCCCCCAATTCTTCTATGCCTAGTTCTAGTTCATTTATATACAACTCCTCATGCTTACCACTGTGACCGAGTAAAGATGGGTGATATGTGGAGAAGAACAGAAAGATAGAATGCCAGACAAGAATTATTGTGAAGAAAGAAGGGAGAAAAGAACAGAATAGATGTAGTCATTGGAGCCATGAGATATATATAAAAGCTGAACTAATAGAAAATATATTCTAAAAAAAAATCCAAAAAAAACCTTTTTTTTTCCTTTTTTTTTTTTTTTTTTCTGTTAAAGATTCCTGTAACAATAACACTATCTGCAGAAGCCCATCCATTTCTCTTTTCAAGAGCACTGGTAAGTGATGAACTTACATAACTACCCAAGTTGACCTATTTCCAAACAGAATGCTGTGCTATCTGCTATTTCAAATAGAAGGGTTAGTAGAAAGAAAGTTCACCTCTCTATCTGAGAGATACATCAGTAGCCAGTTTGAAAATATTAAATCCATTGATTCTGCAGAAAATTCCAGGTCTGGAGAAGTGACATCAGCACACATAAAGTTGACATTTTTATAATGCCCGTTGATGCTTTCATTCTGCAAGGTAGGACATCAAAAGGAAAAATTATGACAAACTTTGCGCTGAAAGAACTATATATTCTACTTTACAAGATAGGATTGATCTTTATCGAGGGGAAAAAATTACCTTCTTTATAACACTTTCAATGAAGTCCAATGCTAGAACGTGCCCAGCTTTCTTAGCTAATTCACCAGTAAAACGACCAATACCAGCCCCTAGCTCAAGAACTGATTTTCCTTCAAAAGGTGGGAGCAGAGAGAGTACCTGTGCATATCACCAGTTATAATAAGTTTTGAGCATTTGTCATCGACATATAACCAAAATATCTGCAAAAACAAAAAGTAAATAATTATATTGCCGCTTTTATTTTCCCGGTTGGGGGTGAAAGATCACGTCAACAGTAGGTCTCAGCTCAACACACTGACAGAAAGACAAAATGAGATTATATCCATTTTTTATTTTTTTATTTTTTATTTTATATATATGACCATTATTCAAAGCTGAGAAAAGTAAAAGATTAAACAAAATGTCAAGACAGACAATTCTAAATCCAAGAAAATAGCCTGCAGCTGAACAGATTCCTCCAGTCCGGAGATTTGGAAGAGAAATACCCGAATGTGGTTCAGTCGGTGTTGGCTAGATCTACCTCGGATCATATTCTGTTGGTCTTGGAGTGCAGTGGATTGCGGAAGAGGATTTCTCCTTTTAGGTTTGAGAATATGTGGCTTTGACCAGAGAATTTCAAGGAGAAAGTGAAGGCTTGGTGGGAGGGGTATAGGGTGAGTGGCACCCAGAACTTCATTCTTGCGGGCAAGCTTCACTCATTGAAGGAAGACATCAAAAAGTGGAATAAGGAGGTGTTTGGATAAGGAGGTGTTTGGGAATTTGGAATGGAAGAAGAATAGGGCGCTATGAAAGATTGCAAAGATCGATCAGTTGGAGGGGTTGGAAGGCCTCGAGTAGACTAAGAGGCAAAGGAGGGATAAGTACCAGACGGAGATTGCGGAGAAAGCCATATCGAAAGAGATTTCGTGGCGCCAGAAATCTCTTAAAGGTGCCTTTTTTGGGAGGGACAACATGCAGTATTGGGAAGGTTCTTGACACTAGACAGCCTGAGGAGGAGGAGACAGATTATTGTCAATTGGTGTTGCATGTGCAAGAAAGATGAAAAGTCGGTTGATCATCTTCTACTGCATTGTCCTGCCTAGACAATTGGGGATTGCTTTTGGGGTTGTTCGGGCCCTTCGGGGTCCAGTGGGTCATGCCTTGGTCCTCGAAAGACATGCTAGAGGCTTGCAGAGGTTGTACAATGTGTCCCCAAGCCCATGACTTTTGGAGGGTAGCGCCTTTGTGTGTTTGGTGGTGTTTGTGGAGGGCATGGAATAGGGGATCCTTCGATGGTGAGGAGACTTCTATGGGGTCACTGAAATTCTCTATTACTAGTTCTCTTTTTGTTGGGTTCTTAGGAGAAATTGTAAATTTATGGGGGAGATAATTTATTTTTTAGATATATTGAGAGACTAGGGCCATATTTGGCCCTTGTGTAGCTTTTTCAGGTCCCGTTTCCCATTTGAACGCTTTCTAATACAATCTTACTTATCCAAAATATATTAACTAATCACACCCAATTGGGAAAAAAATGTGACAAGGGTAGGCAAGCAAGACACTAATGTAATGAATAATAAAAAAAATAAAAACACAACAACAACAACTTTAATATCCAAACATAATGTATTTCTTGAAGTTACAATGCTGAGACCACAACTAAGGAACAGTGCAGGTGCATAACTGCTGTACTAAAAAAGATTATGCGTGCATTTTTATTTTTTTTGAATAAATATGCACGTGCGCAGATGGTGAAGGGCAAGATTGAAAGGGCAAATATAGTTTTCTCATCTCATTGAAAATATTCTTTAGAAACTTCATTTTCATGAATAAAAATCGCCCTTTTTGAGTCGATGTTTAGTGTGAACAAGATTCCAAAACACCACCTATTGGTCGTTTTCCCAAAACAAAATATGGAGAAAATGATGCATATCAATGGCAATATCAACATCATAAGTCAATAAACCAATTAAAGCAGTTCAAATCAAAACCAAAAATGTACTGTAGTACTATTACAGAGAGTAAATTAAAGAATCTCAACCATCAATCATCACATCACACAATCACATCACACAAGCAACAAACTTTCATAAGATTATTTCTGCAAATGAAAGAAATAGAGAAAGAGAGAAACTGGGTTACTTCGGGTCTCTCTTCTTTGTCAAGATCAGACGCTTTAGAATCAAGCATCATAGCCTCGACAGTGAGATCCGCAGAGTGCTCGATCCAGTAGTTCTTTTGAACCTCGCGTTCTTGTCCTACACAAATATATATATGCACATATACATACATACAAACACCGAAAATGAGGCTTTCATACAATTATATTGCTGAGATCTGTGACCTTCATAGATGAAAGAGGAGAGAGAAGAAGAGATCTCACCTTGGAGAGCCATTTGAATCAAAGCTGAAAGGTGAGAAAGTGAATGAAGCGAGTGACAATAGGGGTTGGGTTAGAGATCGAAATCCGATAGAAATGTGGAATGGTTAGCTAAGAACCCTCAATGGCAAGGCGAGATCTAGAGAAAGTCCTTGATCTACGGTTGCACGCTCTTCCCTTCTGCTGCATTTCCCTATCTCACCACACCAGAGTCGTGTCTGCTTCGGTATTTGTATTTATAGGGAGAGAGGGCATGAGAGAGAGAGACACACTATTTTGTTGCGCAGAGTTCTGGCTGCTTCGGTATTTTTTTTATTTATAGAGAGAGAGAATGAGACTCGCTTTTAGAGAGAGAAAGGGGTAGAAAAGTAATTTGCAAAGAAGTCGAGAATCGGTGGGACGGGTGGGGTAGGGAATCTGATATGATATGTCACACGGCCAATGGACCCTTGCCACGTGATGCATGAGATTCCCTACTGTAGGGCAGCCCACCACAATGTTTGTCGCTACCATTTCTTAAATCTGATATTTAGTTTGTTTGTACGTCAAGTCGTCAACACAGAACAAAGAAGAGAAATTATTGAATATTTGAGTGTCTTTTTCTTCCAAAGTTAGAGAAATTATGGAATATTTGAGTGTCTTTTTCTTCTAAAGTTGGAGAAATTATTGAATGTCACGTGATTCATTCGGGGATTATTCAGTTGGCCTACTTTAGATCCGGCTATGATGAATAAATGATCAATGAAATATCTCACATTATTGAATGTCACGTCATACCGACAATTATTTATTGAAGTTGCAAAGCACAATACGGATGCAATTCGTTATCCATATTTCTAATTTACGTGACTGAAAAAATAAAAAATAAAATCAAAAACCCTAGTTGGCCCAAGTCTGTCTCATCTATGTAAGTCAATATATGAAGCTTGTACTCAGACCCTAGTGGCTGTCCTCACATATTACAAACGATCCATTGCATCATTGGAGCAATTGAAAAGAGTAACCAGAAAATGAAAGAACTTATGTTGCTTTTGGTACGTAGGAATTGAATAATAATTATAATTTTAATGTTTGTTTAGATTAATTTAAAATTTAGAATAAAATAAATTTTAAATAAAATTCACCAAAGTACTCTTTTTAATAATAAATAAATTAAATTAACAAAATAACATTCTTCTATATTTTTTTAAAAAAGAAATGGCTATGATGATGGTAGTGGGGATGGAAAGCGATAATTGTGTAGGTGGTAGTATTGAAAGGCGACAACGGTTGCAATGGTGGAAGGCAGCGGCTATGTTGGTTACGGAAGGCAGTAGTAGTGTTGGTGAAGTTAGTGGCGGTAGTGGAAGCAGTGATGGAAGGCATCAATGGTGTGGGTGATAAAGGTGGAAGGCAGTGGCAGTGGTGTAATGGTGGTGGAAAGCGGCGATGGTGTAGGTGGTGGTGGTGGTGGTGGTGGAAGGTGGTGGTAGTGGTAGTGGTAGTGGTAGTGGAAGGTGGCGACAGTGGTGGCGATGGCAATGGTAGAAGGCAGCAGTTGTGTAGGTGGTTGTGGCGGAAGGTGGTAGTAATAGGGACAATGGTGGTGGTAATAACTGTGATGGAAGGCAATGGAGGTGGTGGTTATCAAAGGTGGTAGTGGAGGAAGTCGGTGGTAGTGGTGGTGGTGGCGACGGTAGAGGTGGTGGAAGGCATTAGAGCCGACGACGGTGGCGGTATGGTGGTTGAAGGCGGTAACAATGGTACGTGGCGGTGGCAGTGATGGTGGTGGAAGGCAATGGAGGTGGCAAGTGGTGAAAGGCGGCGGTGGTTGTGGCGAAAGTGGTGGTGATGGTTTTAAGACTTGAAACATGAGGACTTTTTGGGAACTTGAGTTTTTAAAAAAAACAAAATACTTGGGAATAAGGAATGGCCATTCCATAAGTTTAGTTGTGGAATGGATTTTCATTTGTAGGAATAGATTTTCTTTCCAATGGAATGGTTATTCTCATTTCAAAATACATACCAAACAAATGAATGGTTGAAATAGGCATTCCATTTCAATCCATTCATTAACACCAAACGCAACATTTTATGATGCTCAAATGTGTGTTAATGTTTGTATAACACTAACCATTTTCAAGGTTAAGAGGGTCCTATTTATAGGCGAAAACTATACAAGGAAACTGAGTATGCGAGCACAATAAAAGGTAACAATGTAGTGAACAAGAAACCTTAGGTGGTAGGTAAGGGGTACAATAAGTATAATCTAACTGTTCCCTTTAAACTCAAGGTTGGTGATATGAAGCTAGCTTAAGCTTGGAGATAATATCATGAGAGTAGTTGTAAAGCATGAAGACCACCGGAGGCGTATGGAAGCATAGTTGATGTGAATACCACTAGAGGCACATGAAAGCGTAATGGCTCGACAAATTGGTGGCAAAGCTGTGAAGATTCAGTACGTTGAGGTGCACGCGTGGTGGCAGATCCGAGAAGATTTGAGGCGCAGAGGCGCGAGCATTAGTGGCAAATTTGTTAAGATCCGACACGGTGAGGTGCAAAAAGGCGCATGGTGACGAATCTATGAAGATTCGGCACGTTAATGAAAACAACATTGGAGTGTAACGTTTGTTAGTGAAGGGAAAAATATATGGTTTTGTAGAAGGAATTTTGACGATTAACCTCCACCAGGGTTGATGGTGCCATTCTTATCGGTGACAACGTTGGATTGAGAAGACAGTACCAATGATCGACGGGCTCTAATACCATGTTAGAATAAATGAAAATATATAATAATTGGATTGTATTGAATTATAGTATATAAGGGGTCTGTTTATAGATAGGGGTGGCAAAGTTTGACATGAACCGCCAACATGACTCGAACACGACACGAAATAAGCAAGTCTGGATTGACAATAATCGGGTTTGGGTTGTAAATGGGTGGACACAATTAACTCGATTAATTAATCGTGTCGTGTTACGGGTTGAGCATATAACCGTTTATACCCGTTTAATTATGGACAATTAATTCATTTCGCCATAAAGCCTAATAAAAATATAGTTTAGCTCATTAATTGTCATCTCTTTGCAGTCTGATTCATGCTACGCCTTATGATTTTTAAGTGATTAGAGTTACTTAAAATTTTGTATTTTGGCTACTTGGCTATCAGATGTTTGATATATTTTTTTTTTACTTTGAATATTTTGTGCTGTGTAATAACTATATAAACTTATGTCTTTTAATTTACTATTCTGGACTAGAGATTGTGTAGTAATTTGGTTGCAGTAAGACTTTTTTTTTTTTTTTTTTTTTTTCCACTGTTTATTTGTTTGATTGAGAATTATAAATAATCTAAATAATATAATATCTAGGTTTGATAAATAAGTCATTAGACAAGTAAAGTTGTGTACCTAGTTTAATAAACAGGGCTGAGTTAGTGTTGAGGGTCCTTAACATAACTATTAAATAGGTCGTGTTCGGATTAACTTGTTTAGTAGAATACCTTTAGTTCAACACGACACAATAATGACCTACGAATACGAATTATCACCCTTATAATATTTATAGGTGAAAGCTATAGAAGGCAACTAGGTAATGAACAAAAAATCCTAGGCGGTAGATAAAGGGTATAGTAGGTATAATCTAATACAAACAATGATCAATCTCTGTGCTTAGGTTAGAATGATGAGGCTCGATTGTGCCGCATCACCACCAACAACCGTTTCTTGAATACAAGATATGCAACAACTTTGGCAAGTTGGGCCATGTCAATGTTATGATGGGCTAACAAGCTAGTCTACCAACTTCCTCTACCTCAATAGAAAGTGGGCCATGAGGGTTCCCACTTGAGAAAGGCCCCATCAAAATTTTACTGCCCTTTTTGTTGGTAATGTTTTTAAATATTTAGAGTTCATTTGGGATTGTTGTTCAATCATTTTAAAATATTTTTATTTTTAAAAAAATTACTTTTAAATGCGTTTGATAATTTTTTTTTTTCCTTAGTTGATAACTAGCGACCTTCATTAGAAAAGTAAAAGCGTTAGGCCACTTGCCTGTTGGTGTTTGATAAATATTAATTAAAAACACTTTTAATAATTACCAACTTTAAATAAGTAGAGTTTTTGAAGGAATAAAAAATTTCTATCTCTTAAAACTGTGTTTGGATAGTTCTATATTTTAGGTAGCTGTTTTTCCTTAAATAAATTTATTATTATTATTATTATTATTATTATTATTTTCACTTCACTTGTTTTTGTTATTTACAGCTAACAATTGTAATGAGATTTAAAATAAAAATAAAAAATCAATATAATGTGAAATACCATTTTTTTAAAATTTTAAAATTATTAATTTTTTTTTTTTATGAAACATTATGCAACAAATTAGTTACCAAACATGTTTATGTTTGAATAAATCACACCACAAAAAATATACCCCTTCTGTCCCAAAATTATTGGGGTATATGGTGAATCCAACTTTTTATGGTTGTGGGTTTTTAATATTTATTTATTTAATTGATAAGAGTGAATTTTTAAATTTATCCTTATTAAGAGACAAATGAGTACTCCGTAATTAGCACACTTGTTTAATCAAGTCAATGTCAAAATGATAGTTTGGCAATGTTATAAAAAAACAGTACATCTATTTTTTTTAAGAGTAATGATATTTATACCAACTACTTTAACCTATTTGTCTAGCCAAATGAGTTTATATCCATTTGATGTTGTGGATAAACTCAAAAATGTGTCTCATTCACTAAATCAAATGTTGTTTAATCAAGTCAATGCCAAAATGATAGTTAATTTGGCAATGTTATAAAATAATTAGTACATCCATGTTTTTGAAGAGTAATGATATTTATACGGACTACTCTAACCTATTTATCTAGCCAAATGTGTTTCTATCCATTTGATGTTATGGATAAACTCAAACATGGATCTCATTCACCAAACCAAAGAAATAGAAACCCTTATGCCTAACAAATAGCTAGGTTAGATAATTCGATGTAAGAATCATTTTCTTTTTTGAATACGACATTCCAAAATAGAAACATAGACACATTAATTTGAAATCCAAATGCAAAATAGGAATGGTTGTCCAGATCATTATTATATATTTTGTTTTTTTAATTCTTTTTACTTTTGACTTGTTGTATTGTTGAACTGTTGTTCTTTAAAATTATTTTAAATTACATGTCATTTATTACCACAAAAAGAAAAAGAGAGAAAACAATACATATAGCAGATATATCGCCTTCTAGTATAGTAAAAAATCAAAGATAATGACATCTAGCTTTATACGAAAGTAAAAGAGTGTAAGAAC